TCAGAATCGGTATTAAATCAAATACATTTTTAATTCACTTGCAGAACCTCTCGGCCACAGGAGTTCTACTAAGGGGGGTAGAAGTAGCCTAAGCTACTCTATCCCTTTGAGATGTATTTCTTTCTTGTCTCATTAAACATACTTGAACTTGGAGTTCTACCGACCTAACTAGGAAGACCCACAATAAGAGGGTCTCAATGACACACAACTGTTATTCAGTTGAGACTCTCGACCTCTCCTGGAGTGACACTTGAGTCTTGGTGGTAATTAGGTGATCCACGTGATAATCATGTCAATTGCAAACCACAATAAACGCGGGAATAACATTTCCGTGTAAGCGCTTTGTGTATTGGAACGTCTGTTTGATACCTACTTGATGGGGTTCTGGGAGTTCTTCTACTCCCCCAAGCCCGGCCCGAGGCCAGGCTTGACTAGTGAGAGTTTGGTTCACCAGGCTGTTGCTTGGAGCGGCCCGTAGGCCCACATATACCTGGTTGATGGGGTTCTGGGAGTTCTTCTACTCCCCCAAGCCCGGCCCGAGGCCAGACTTGACTTGTGAGAGTTTGGTCCACCAGGCTGTTGCTTGGAGCGGCCCGCAGGCCCTCATACCCACCACAGTCCGGTTGGTCCGGCACTTCTAGGAGAAAATGATCTAGTTTGCTCTTGAAGATGTCACCTAGATTAGGTGTTTAGATAGTGTTGGCAGTTATTTGTATTTGCATTCCGCGGGTGAAGCAAATACACGCGCTTCGAGCAGAGGATCTGAGCAAAACAGTGTTCGAGAAAATGTTTGAACGTCGTCGGTTGAAGAGTCGTGTGTACCGTGTTTTTCAGTCATAAATGGCTGGACACTCTAGCATATGGTCTTTGTGAGGAGGGATTTCCTACCGTGAGCGCTGTGTTGCACATCATGCACACAGCATCAGCTTTGTATTTTACACGGTAGAGCTCATAATGCCTCTGAAATGCAACGCGAGAGGGATAACCTAAATGCCTGTCTGACCACATGAGGCAAATTCCTCGTTTTATCGTGAAATGCGCCGCTTGCCGCAGGTATGGCAGCGTTCTCCTGTCAGTCAGTCAGTCTGTCTGTCTACTAGTCATCATTTTCCAGTGCTACAATAAGGATGTGTGTGAAGTCATGCTCTCCGAACTACCATTTATGCGTTAACAACCTCATCTCTTGATCCTCGCCTGCTAACTGCATGTCTGCAGAATTGGTCTGGAAGGTGGTCATCTGTTTAACCTTCCTCGTCTAATGTAGCCCTTCAGCGTGTCCCTAGCGTCTTGGTTGACCGGTTCCCTCCGGTTGCAAAGCTCTTTCAAGAATTCCTTGCAACTGCAAACCCTGATATATTCGTTTCCCGTGCGATCACTGCGTGTTATGTCGTGGGTGAAACGTGGTCCTGCTTTCAGTTATTTGGGACTAGTGTGTGTGTGTGTGTGTGTGTGTGTGTGTGTGTTTACTAGTTGTGTTTTACTAGTTGTGTTTTTGCGGGGGTTGAGCTTTGCTCTTTCGGCCCGCCTCTCAACTGTCAATCAACTGTTTACTAACTACGTTTTTTTTTTTTTTTTTTCTCCACACCACACACACACCCCAGGAAGCAGCCCGTGACAGCTGACTAACTCCCAGGTACCTATTTACTGCTAGGTAACAGGGGCACTTAGGGTGAAAGAAACTTTGCCCATTTGTTTCTGCCTCGTGCGGGAATCGAACCCGCGCCACAGAATTACGAGTCCTGCGCGCTATCCACCAGGCTACGAGGCCCCTTAGTGTGTGTGTGTGTGTGAGTGAGTGAGTGAGTGAGTGAGTGACCTTACCTTTGAGCGCATCAGTAAGTTAATATCAGCCTTCAGGAGAATAAGTTACGAACACTGTAGTGGGCTAACTCCGGCACTGAGCAGCAGGCTTCACTTTGGACACATCAACGGGCTGACGTCAGGATACATCAACGGGCTGACGTCAGGGTACATCAACGGGCTGACGTCAGGATACATCAACGGGCTGACGTCAGGGTACATCAACGGGCTGACGTCAGGATACATCAACGGGCTGACGTCAGGGTACATCAACGGGCTGACGTCAGGATACATCAACGGGCTGACGTCAGGGTACATCAACGGGCTGACGTCAGGGTACATCAACGGGATGAAGTTTGGTACCGCAATGAGGCTAGTTTGATGATGATACACGTTTTGTGCAATATTTCAGGCACCGCTATGCATAACCTTCCGAGTACGAGAGGTTTAGGGCGAGGGAGAGGTGTTGCCAGAGAGAGGGAGGGGGTGGAAGTAGAGAAGTATGTGGAGGCAATGTGTTAAAAGGGGTTTATAGAAGGGGTCACTCATGGGCGGAAGGGTAAAAATAGGTGCATACACGATGGGGACTTTGGGGGGGGGGGGGGGAGGGTCGTCCTTTTTGGGGGGGGGGGGGAGGTGAAGCTTTGGCCAAATGTCATCGATCAGATTAGCAACACATCAGCTGGTTGACTTTATCTCTAGGTGAATATTTCACGAAGAAAATGATATATTGATTCTGTTAGTCCTGAGTTACTTTACGTGGGGGTGGAGGAGGGGGGGGGAAGTCTGGGGATTGAAAGGGGGGGGGGGAGAGGGAAGTTGGTGGAGGGGGGGGGAGTGAGGGTCCATTACACAGAACATTAAAACATGTAGACAAACATGTAAGAGTGTATATATGTGATGCTACATAGTATTCATCTACAGACATACATATGTGTTTAAATACTAGTTAAGAAACTCACATACTCAAGGAGTTTCCTAAGAAAAGAAGCAAGTTTAACTACCAAACCAGGCTGTCCTCGTAAGGGTTCCCCAACGTCCAGAAACTGTCGTAGTAAAGTGCCCTTATCCTAACCTACCAGAGGTCCCAAAACAGAAAACGGGACAGTATGTCAATTTTGCGGGTCGCTACCATTTAGAATGTGTGGCCTTAGGCGGCGTATACGTCCAAATGCGACGCTCTAACAGTAGGACAGGTTGACGAAACACATTCATCTTTGGGGGGGGGGGGGGTAGAAATAGCCTAAGCTGCTCTATTTCTTTGAGATGTATTTTTTTTCTTTTCTCAATAAACTTACTTGAACTTTTCTTGTCTCAATAAACTTACTTGAACTTTTCTTGTCTCAATAAACTTACTTGAACTTTTCTTGTCTCAGTAAACTTACTTGAACTTTTCTTGTCTCAATAAACTTACTTGAACTTTTCTTGTCTCAATAAACTTACTTGAACTTTTCTTGTCTCAGTAAACTTACTTGAACTTGAACACATTCATCGCGTCAGCAAGGCGGACAAAACGCCCGCTATCATAGCATTCTATATATCTTATTTGTAACCTTATTCCTTTACTTGTTCTTCTACATCTTCCTTACTAAAAGCCTCACCCGTGAGCCCCACCATCTGTCTCCAGTCATATTTGGGGGGTTGTCATAAACTACATAAACAAATTATGTAGTTTATGATAGCAGGCGGGCTGACCGCCTTGCTGACACGATGTACTCACCAATTGGTGCTTGCGGGGGGGTTGAGCTCTGGCTCTTTGGTCCCGCCTCTCAATTGTCAATCAACAGGTGTATAGGTTCCTGAGCCTATTGGGCTGTATCATATCTAGACTTGAAACTGTGTATGGAGTCAGCCTCCACCACATCACTGCCTAATGCATTCCATTTACTGAATGTGTGTTTGGTAGCTAGGCTAACCTTGCTTTTTGTCGAAGCTGTGAGTGTGTGAGGTTCCTCACATGTATTTAAATATGTGTGTGGAAGGAAATGTAGATGTTTATCTCTCAGAATGTTTGGTAATATGTTTATTGTTTGTGATGTGTTTATATGTATGTATTAACACGTTGTACTGAACGGGGTGAGAATAGCTTGAGCTACCTCATCCCTTTGTGTGTATTTGACCTCAATAAACTTAATATCACTTTCAATTTCAATGTGTATGGAGGTCTATACATGAATACTGTGAAGCATGAACCTATACACACTCGGATGCTTGGGTACAGCTTTTGATGTTGATATTTTGAGAGGGTTGAAATGTAGATGCTTTGTTTGTTTGTGTGTTTGTTAGTAGGGCTTTGTTTCCACCATGTAGTGGGTGGTGTGTTGGTGGATGAGGGGGGGGGGAGGGGGTGTTACGAAAAGTGTTTTCCAGCCATTAGTACACTTTCCCCCTTGCCTTCTCTTATCCATCTCCCCTCTCTCTCTCTCTCTCTCTTTTTATCCCATAGTCCCTCTGATTCTTTTTTCCGTTTTCTCTTTCCCCCCCGTGCTTCCCACTCTCCCTCCTTTTCTCCCCTCTCTTTCTCCTTTCCTTCTATTCCGCCTCCCTGACCCTCTCTTCCATTATTGCTAGTACCTTTTCAACTAAAGGCAAAGAGTGTCGCTTTTTCTCCACTTAAATCCAACGCAGCAATGTCCATCCTGTGAAGCCTCGCTCGCTTCCATACATCAAAAGGACATTTCGTCCTCACAGTCACTGTACCGAGCCCAGCAGTCACTGTACCGAGCCCAGCACAGTCACTGTACCGTGCCACGATGTACTGTGCCGTTTCGTCGAGGCGAACTTTTGTATCTAACTGCAAATGCCGGGTCCTGGAGTTGTAGCTCAACCCCGCAGGGCCATGGGGGATGTAACCAAAGCCTCAACAGCCAACCAATGGCTGGCTGACCAAGGTAGTATAGATTATATGGATTATTGATAATTACAAATAACCAAGGTGCCGAAGCAACTGGAATACGTCATTCTTTTGACAATAGAGAGAATCCTGGGAGCTTCCATCTCGCTTGTTGAGCAGACAGCTTCCATCTCGCTTGTTGAGCAGACAGCTTCCATCTCGCTTGTTGAGCAGACAGCTTCCACCTCGCTTGTTGATCAGACAGCTCCATCTCGCTTGTTGAGCAGACAGCTTCCATCTCGCTTGTTGATCAGACAGCTCCATCTCGCTTGTTGAGCAGACAGCTTCCATCTCGCTTGTTGATCAGACAGCTCCATCTCGCTTGTTGAGCAGACAGCTTCCATCTCGCTTGTTGAGCAGACAGCTTCCATCTCGCTTGTTGATCAGACAGCTTCCATCTTGCTTGTTGATCAGACAGCTTCCATCTTGCTTGTTGATCAGACAGCTTCCATCTTGCTTGTTGATCAGACAGCTTCCATCTTGCTTGTTGATCAGACAGCTTCCATCTTGCTTGTTGATCAGACAGCTTCCATCTCGCTTGTTGAGCAGACAGCTTCCATCTTGCTTGTTGAGCAGACAGCTTCCATCTTGCTTGTTGATCAGACAGCTTCCATCTCGCTTGTTGAGCAGACAGCTTCCATCTTGCTTGTTGAGCAGACAGCTTCCATCTTGCTTGTTGAGCAGACAGCTTCCATCTCGCTTGTTGATCAGACAGCTTCCATCTCGCTTGTTGAGCAGACAGCTTCCATCTCGCTTGTTGATCAGACAGCTTCCATCTCGCTTGTTGAGCAGACAGCTTCCATCTCGCTTGTTGAGCAGACAGCTTCCATCTTGCTTGTTGAGCAGACAGCTTCCATCTTGCTTGTTGAGCAGACAGCTTCCATCTTGCTTGTTGAGCAGACAGCTTCCATCTTGCTTGTTGAGCAGACAGCTTCCATCTCGCTTGTTGATCAGACAGCTTCCATCTCGCTTGTTGAGCAGACAGCTTCCATCTTGCTTGTTGAGCAGACAGCTTCCATCTCGCTTGTTGATCAGACAGCTTCCATCTCGCTTGTTGAGCAGACAGCTTCCATCTCGCTTGTTGAGCAGACAGCTTCCATCTCGCTTGTTGATCAGACAGCTTCCATCTCGCTTGTTGAGCAGACAGCTTCCATCTCGCTTGTTGATCAGACAGCTTCCATCTCGCTTGTTGAGCAGACAGCTTCCATCTCGCTTGTTGAGCAGACAGCTTCCATCTCGCTTGTTGAGCAGACAGCTTCCATCTTGCTTGTTGATCAGACATCTCTCACTGTGTGGAGCTTGTACTAAGTCGCGAATCTGTAGTACCAGATCTAAGATTCATGAAGCATTGATGCATACACTTATCAATCCTGAGCCCAAAGATTTGGGCTGGACGGTAGAGCGACGGTCTGGCTTCATGCAGGTCGACGTTCAATCCCCGACCGTCCACAAGTGATTGGGCACCATTCCTCTCCCCCCCCCCCCCACCTCCTGCGTCCCATCCCAAATCCATATCCTGACCCCTTCCATGTGCTATATAGTTGAATTCGCTTGCCGCTCTCTCCTGATAGTTCCCTTCCCTTACGAAACCTGTATATCTTTCAACAGCCATTAAGGCTTTGTTTACTTTTATTAAACAGTTTATGAACTTCACACGGCTAGGTTATTATTATAAACGTCCTCGCAGCGCTACGGAGTTCATAAACTGTTTAATACATGTAAAGAAAGCCGTAATGGCTGTTGAAAGATTAAGAGGTTTCGTTCCTAGATGCTTAAATGGGGCTTAGCGTCCCCGCGGCCCAGTCCTCGACCTGGCCTCCACCCCCAGGAAGTAGCCCGTGACAGCTGACTAAGACCCAGGTACCTATTTTACTGCTATGTAACAGGGGGGCATGAAAGTGAAAGAAACATTTTATGGCCATTTGTCTCCGCCTCCACCGGGGATCGAACCCGGAACCTCACGAATCCGAAGCGCTGTCCACTCAGCTGACAGGCGCCCAGGGGTGAAGTGGGCGCTGAGGACGCCACGAAGGTGAAGATTCGACGAACCAAACAAAGGAACCTCGTCCCGTCAGCAAAGTCTTCGAGGTATCAGTCCTTCAAGCGAGAGACGCACGTCAGAGAGTAATCACACTCTTAAGAGTTTTTTGTTGTACATGGCTGTATATTGGTGAGCTGATGCTGGGGGTACTGTCTGCCTGGTGCTGGGGGGTACTGTCTGCCTGATGCTGGGGTACTGATGCACTATCGACAGTGTCACTACAGTACTAGTGTACTACAGTGTTAAGTGTACTACAGTACACTTAATACCAGTGTATTAGTACACTGGTATTAAGTGGAGGAGATATGTGTATAGATTATTGAAATATACGAAGACAAAATCATCTTATACCATTGATAGAAGTATGTGAGTATGGCATATTAAGCAGAGTTGAGGGTGCCAAGGGGCCTGACAGCTGAGTGGACAGCGCTTTGGATTCGTAGTCCTGAGGTTCCGAGTTCGATTCCTCCGGTGGAAGGTGGAAACAAATGGGCAGAGTTTCTTTCACCCTGATGCCCTCCTGTTACCTAGCAGTAAATAGGTACCTGGGAGTTAGACAGCTGCTACGGGCTGCTTCCTGGGGGTGGAGGCCTGGTCGAGGACCGGGCCGCAGGTAGGCAGCGTCTGGGATGCTCTTGGACGCAGGTTCGAATCCTCGTCACGGCCCTTGTGGACTTGTCCAAGTACAACTAACATACCACCTCATTATAACCTGTAAGAAAAGTCTTAAGTAGATGGTAAGTGTCGGCGAAGCATTATTTCAAATAGAAAAGTAGTAAAAGTAACTTGTAATAACAGAAACACACACTTTAAGCAACATTGCAGAAAGTGACAAAGGGAAATGATATTGTAGATAATGATAGCAATTGTCAGACTCATAAGTCTAAGGTAATATGACTGATATTGGCGCTAATTAAAGGTATTCTAAGACTTACTGCATGGAACAATACTGGTAACGACCGGAGGACACAGGTGTAGGATACATATACACAAGAGAAGACACAAGTATTATTTTATTGTTTTATTCTACCACAGACGTGGCCGGTATGCTAACCAGAACATATACATTTTAATGAACAAATCCACAAGGATTTGTTACACACAGAAATCACAATAGCGTGATGCATCAAGTGAACAAATCCACAAGGGCCGTGACGAGGATTCGAACCTACGTCTGAGAGCATCCCAGACGCTGCCTTAATCGACTGAGCTACGACATACGATGTAGATTCGAACCCTCGTCACGGCCCTTGTGGATTTGTTCACTTGATGCATCACGCTATTGTGATTTCTGTGTGTAACCCGTACATTTTCTTCCGTCCTCATGTAGAGATGTTGAGCAGTCAACCACATGAGGTCATGAATTGCTTTTACAGTATTAACTATAGCATACATTTTCGTCTGTCTTACATAGACAGGTTATAGAGAAAGCTGCTTGACAGGCAGATTTCTGTCTATAATTGTCGCCACTAATTTGTTTTGATTGTGACCTTGGGAAAGATTTGCATCAACTTTATCCATTTCAATTAAACCAAAATTAAAGCTGCATATTTGCCCTATGTATTATCGCCCAATCACTTGGGGTAGACGGTAGAGCGACGGTCTCGCTTCATGCAGGTCGGCGTTCAATCCCCGACCGTCCACAAGTGGTTGGGCACCATTCCTTTCCCACTGTCCCATCCCAAATGCCTTATCCTGACCCCTTCCCAGTGCTATATAGTCGTAATGGCTTGGCGCTTTATCCAGATAACTCCCTTCCAATGTATTACCGTCAATGGAGGTAAAAAATTTGTCCAGCGAGGACGTCACAGGACGTTCTCTGTTGTTGTTGTTGTTAAAGATTCTCTACCTGGAACAACAAGTCCCAAGTAGCACGGGCTATGGTGAGCCCGTAGTTCCTATTCTCTCCCCCACACGTCTTGAGCTCCTCTTCGCTCTTCCTCTGAGCATCAGAAGGAAATAGACACAACACACAAGAGGAGGCGACTGGCAAAGCCGCCATCATACAAAAAAAGTTTCGACGATAGAGTTGCACAGAATTTTAAATTGGCATTTTCAGAGCCGGGAGAGGGGGGGGGGAGGGCCTGATGCTGGAGCGGCTTGGTGAGGGAAGGAGGGGTGAGGTGTGAGGGGAAGTGAGGGGCAGGGGTGAGGTGTGAGGGGGGGCAAGAGAGAGAGGAAGCAGATAAATGAAGTGTCAATTAAAGTTAGGGAAGATTTCTTGCATACTGGCACTATTGTACCCCTCACACACTGGCACTCCTGTATCCCCCCTCACACACTGGCACTCATGTACCCCCTCACACCTCACACTCATCCTACCCTCACTCCTCCCGTAGCCTTTGAACCCTTCCATACAGAGTATGATTGACCGAAGCCATTGCCAGCCAGAGAAGGTGCCGCTGTAGGCAGTATGAGGCCATATATCCCCTATAATGACCTCTGCCAGGGTCATGGGTCACGGCGGCATTGTCTAATATATTGGCCGGTCATAAATATATATGGTGCAACTTCGACCGTCCGGGCTCCGCCAGAGATCAACGCTGGAGGAAAATTGTTGAGTCTCCCCTTAAAATGCGCGCATTAAGGGGAGACTTTTTCTTTCGTGATGTTGTCTGTTTATCCGTCTCCTTTTGTTGCTCCTTCTCCTTCTTCTCCTGCTCCTTCTCCTCCTCCTCCTCCTTCCTGTCTTCCCGTTTATTCTTTGTTGTTCCGTCCAGCTTCTTGGGAATGTTACTGCGTGTTCCTGTTCCTTCTGGCCATGTAGCTGTTTATTTTTTCACTCCCGTTTTCTTCGTTTCTGCCTTTTGCCCTGTTATCATTCTATTCTTCTGCTCTTCCTGTTGTTCGTTTCGTAGTTCCTTCTTTTGTCCTTCATTCTGTCCATATTTTAAACCTGTAAGAAGTGATTTCCTACTGTCCTTGCATCTTTCCTCCCCCCCCCCTGTTCTGTCTTTTCCGTCTTCCGTTCCTTCCGTCCACCTCCGTTCCTTATTTATTGCGTCATTCCTTTATTGTTTCCCATTTTCTCTTTATTTAATAAACATTTTACACTCTGAACATTTATAGTATCTCATACCGTACCGTACCTGGCCACTTTAGTACCGGTACCCTGAGGTGTTTCCGGGGCTTAGCGTCCCCGCGGCCCGGTCGTCGTCGACCATGCCCCCCCTGTTTGCTGCACCTTGGGACAGTGCCCATAAGTCACCCTCGGCACGGAGGGGGTACCAGGGTAAATAAAACATTATGACTAATAAAGAAACGACGCGTGCAAAATACCCCCCATGAATAGGGGGGGCATTGGCAGGGGCATTGGCAGGTGTAATTACGTGCCCAGTCGCTCCCCAGGCCGCCCCTGCATGTGGTGACACACCCACTACAGCCTGGTGGAAATGGTAATTAGCAGGTTGGAATCTGGGAATTACTGCCCACAATCGCAAGATGGAACTGTCATTAAAACTTTTCTTCTGGATTTCTTCCAAGAAAATCCTGTGCCCACCAGTTATCTTTTAAAGAGAATGGCTATCCTTAATTTCACAGGGAAGACATTTGCAAGTTAAATCAGCATACAAATGTGAATCTGCTGCCACAGGCGCATGGACTCACACACACACAACCAGGGGGCGCTGGTGGCTGAGTGGACAGCACGCTGGATACGTAGTGTTCCGGGGTTCGATTCCCGGCGCCGGCGGAAATGGGCAGAGTGTCTTTTTAATCTGATGCCCCCTGTTACTTAGCAGTAAATAGGTACCTGGGAGTTAGACAGCTGTTACGGGCTGCTTCCTGTGTGTGTGTGTGTGTGTGTGTGTGTGTGTGTTAGATATGTTTGTTGTAACATGTCACCTCACCCAAATGCGAGTATATAAGACAAAAGCTGTTTAAATATTAACATAGTAAAACTCTGTTTAGTGTTTGCAGGTTATAGTTGTGTGTGTGTAAACTAAAGACTTTGCAAATGTAATAAGTTATTACGAAACGCAAGTGTCTCGTCAGACTAGAAATTAAAATGAATTTTGGAGAATCGATTTTTCAATTACCATCGACAGTGAAAAGAAACATAAGAAATATTGAGAAAATTCGTGTTAGAATTATTAATCTTACTTTTTCGGTCATATTTAACAAAATATATGTGTGTGTGAACATATGAGGGACATTTGTCTTACGGGATCACCATAGCCCGTGCTACATGGACACTTCGTTCTGAGTAGCTAAATCTAAAACCCACAAGAACAGCGGGACATTTGTACCTTAGTATGAAGACAATACT